CACACAGGGAGTCAGTATGTATTACACAGGGAGACAGTCTGTATTACGCAAGGAGTCAGTCTGTATTACACAAAGAGTCAGTCTGTATTACACAGGGAGTCAGTATGTATAACATAGGGAGACAGTCTGTATTACACAGGGAGTCAGTCTGTATTACAAGGGAGACAGTATGTATTACATAGGGAGACAGACTGTATTACACAGAGAGTCTGTCTGTATTACAAGGGAGACAGTCTGTATTACATAGGGAGTCAGTCTGTACTACATATTTAGTCAGTCTGTACTACACAGGACATCAGTCTGTATCAAAATGGGAGTGACACCGTTATACAAAGGAAATTCGTTCGATTATACAGAGCCAAAATACATTACATAGATCTCTCCTTGGACAAAACGAAAAAGACTTCATCTTCAAGTATGTGACTGGGGTTAGTTTAGCATATCAACATGTAAATCCAACCGGTAGTGTCTACTTCCTATTCAGCTTCTATACGCATTGTACCGGAAGCCATGACGATACAACAACTGATTTAGGACAAAGATAAATCCGTTAATTCGGTTCTGATGACGAACAGTTGCTGGTTAGTAATCAATACATATAACATGCTAACTCATCATTTGAGAACCATGGTCAATATATATTTATTATATCCGGATTTAATTTGAATTAGACCAAGTTTGGAAACATAAGAATCTGGCTCTCGATATTTTTATTATTATACTGATGTATATTTTTATTATTATAATAATGTATACAACATTTACATAGCGCCGTTTATAATTTGTAAAATTCCAGCTATTGGCTGCCAAGATTGTATAAGAACAAAAAGAATATACTTCTTTATGATAGCACATCTCATCATATAAATAATAAAATATTATTAGCCGGGAGATGATAGTTACCATTCACATATCTTATTAATTTGCACATTTAAGTTCACATGTACATGTACCATACAAATATATAAATATCCCACCATCCGCTGTTCTGGTACATATAACATAACTATGTTTTAACATCGCAGATATTACCCCAGTTTTATACATGCTTAACATCCTCTATGTATGCGATCAAACTTGTCCATTGTGTTACTTTATGTTGAATTGTACAGGAAAAGATTTCTTGCGCGAGTTAAATGTCACATTAACAGCTTAATTTATTGATCATATTTGCTATTGTAAGATATTAAAAATGAAATTCACGGAAAGATTTTTTTATGGAATTAAGCGTGGCTCTATAATGAGAACTTAAAACATACTGATATATTACACTCGTTGACTCTCATTGACACATACACGCTAATTCCATAAATAATTCTACATTTTTACTGTCATGAGATATATCTTCTTTTACATTGTAATTTAAATTTCTGACATAATTGTCTTTATCATGCGTTTTTATTACAGTACAAACTTATGTACAGTAAATATGTTTAGTAACTTAAACGTATTCGATGCCATTTTTTAACAAGGAATTAATTAGCTATGTATATGATGATATTGAATCGGATTGAATCAGTGATGAGACAATACATGTACAGTTGTACCTGAAAAGAATTCGTATCCTCCCCCCGGGCCGTAGTGTTTCCGGCCCTTAGTGACGTCAAACACCTGGCCCAATACTGCTAGGTAGACGGCACTGTCCCCCTCCCCACGGTATTTCCACAACTCGTCCTTGGTGAAAATTCGGCCTGATGTTGACTTCACGTCTGCTGTGTGGTCAGAGATATCGATGTAGCGTTCCATGAAAGATTTCACATTGTCTGGTACATGTCGCATCAGCATGCGAGTGTATGGAGTCAGGTACCCGTACGCGTACAGCACACTGACCACGCCCACCACTGTGGTGACAAACATTGTCCCCCTCAGCATGTTTACGACACAAGTACTGCGTGCCAATGCGTCCTTTAGTGATCACGTTATTCCTTATGTTATCCCAGTAAACCGTGTGTGTCAGCCGATCAATGTGTATACGACTAGGTCACAGCAGTGTATTTTCCCAAACGTGTATTCGAATGTTGGTAACTCATGGGCGCTGCCATTGAATGCGAAAACGAGGCAACACGGATGTAAAATGTAAATGGGGTCCTCGACGGGATATGTTTCCCCCTCGAGTTGTGTGTAGTTATTTTTCTACAATTATATCTAACAGTCAAGTTAGATTTCATCAGCATGCTGTACGGAGAAAATAAATCACTACGGGCATATATAAAAGCAGCATACATAAATTATACAGAAAATCACAGCACTTCGACATACACGAAAGTACTATATTTGGACATAAACATAAAAACACTAAAGACATAATTAAGCATAACAAAAATATAGGATTAAGTAAAATTGAAAAACAGAAACGGAACACTAGAAATATCATCAACTGCACGCAATACAAACAGAAATCGAACTTATCACAATATAGAGAAAAACATTAAGAGATTTAAATTACATGCTGCATAGGATGAGAACACAGACATATATTAGAAAATAAAAATTATCAAGTTTCTCAGATAACAATAGCATTTATTGTAATGCAACATTTCAAAATGCACTAAAACATGCAAAAAAAAAAAAAAAAATACAATGTAAAACATACAGCAGATAACATTCTACTGCAAGCAAATTGTCTCGCCATTTTCCCTTTTCATTGTATATAAATGATTGTGAAAAAGACTTAACTTTATAGAAAAATGTCGGTCTGTTGAAATAGAACAACTCAACTTGTTCTTAATTATGTACGCTGATGACATGGTCATTGTAGAAGAACATCCGCAAGGTCGACAAATGATGCTAGACTCTCTATCAAATTATATAGCCGTGAGTGAGATGTATAACTCTATATCAAATTATATACCCGTGAGTGAGATGTCTAGCTCTCTATCAAATTATATAGCCGTGAGTGAGATGTGTAACTCTATATCAAACTTTATACCCGTGAGTGAGGTGTATAACTCTCTATTAAATTATATACCCGTGTGTGAGATGTATAACTCTGTATCAAATTATATACCCATGAGTGAGATGTATAACGCTATATCAAATTATAAACCCGTGAGTGAGATGTCTAGCTCTCTATCAAATTATATAGCCGTGAGTGAGATGTCTAGCTCTCTATCAAAGTATATATCTGTGAGTGAGATGTCTAGCTCTCTATCAAAGTATATATCTGTGAGTGAGATGTCTAGCTCTCTATCAAATTATATAGCCGTGAGTGAGATGTCTAGCTCTCTATCAAATTATATACCCATGAGTGAGATGTATAACTCTGTATCAAATTATATACCGTGAGTGAGATGTGTAACTCTCTATCAAAGTATATATCTGTGAGTGAGATGTCTAACTCTATATCAAATTATATACCCGTGAGTGAGATGTCTAGCTCTCTATCAAATTATATACCCGTG